TATATATATATATATATAATGTACTGGCACAATTTGTGCATACAGTCGAGTGAAATATTATGTAACTTATAAGTTAAGTTATAAGCTTGGAACATCACAAACGAGAGATTCAGCTGGGTTCCAGTTGAATCTCTCGCAAAACCAAATTAGTTTGCAAATGAGTGTATTTTTTTAACTTAGGTATACTAAGCTACAAATGGGAATATCAGTAAGTTTTCCGCACTTGACACAGAGAGGCGGGTAGTTCAACTGCTGACGAACGATAGAGATCATCACGTTGATGAATAACGCGTTATGTTCCGGTGTGTATAGGGAGGTGCGTGAGAAAAGGTGTTGAGAGAGCTTTCGGTAATCATAAATGGCGGGTATGTCTATAAGACTGACAGGGTTCGGAGTAATCGTGTGCGTTGATATGCCCGGAACATTTCGAAGCCGTTATTCAGCTGAAATACGAAGTTTCTTTAGGGATAAGGGGGGAAACCTGTACAACCACATCTTTGATGAGAGAATCCAATGATCCAAAATGATTTCACCGAAGTGAAGCGTTGTTGTGGCATGTACAAATTTTTCACTGAACAAGAGTGTGCTACCTTACCCTTAGACAGTTAGGTTTTATTTTTGTCAGAAGGGGATGAAATGGTAATTCTAGAGGTTTAAGGACATAGTTGACAACTTTTGTCCTGTGTGCTTGAATAGGACACTTTTCTTACCACCTCAAATGTTTGAACGGAAGTCAGTGGAATGTCTGGTTTAGAAAGAGCCATCAGTACGGGTGTTAGTGACAGTCATCGCCTAGCGCTCTCTTTACATCCACAACTCATGAATTTTTGTATTGCCGTCTTATAGTTAACCCCACATAGCATGTAAAAAGACTGATGGTCGAATCCGCGTTTAACATGTCGTTGGATCCGTCGCCTGTAGCACTTGTTTGCGCAGCTTTCCATCAAGCCAGACATAGTTCCTATCTGTCACAAGTCATCCTATTTAGGGAAAAATCAGCAGTGGTACATTTTGTCCATTCCCCTCTGTTTTTTCCAGTGGTATTTTGCGTTTTTAGTTATGAAACACTGTGTATAATTTATCAAAGCTGAACCTGGTAGCCAATTGGAGTAAGTTAATCGGGAGATCGTGGATTTCGTTGCTCATGACTTTATCCACTCGGATGAATTATTTCCTTCGAGAACGTCCCGTACAAATTAAACAACAGTACTATTTTATCCCATATATTAGCTCTACCGTAACGAGTAGAAATATGCAATATGATTCCTAAAAACAACCATTAAGATCAGGCTGAATTGTTTTTCTCAAAATGGGGAGTACGGATTCGACCAACAGTCAATTCTTCACACGCGGCACTCGCATCTCTCGCACTACCGGATTTGTTTTGCATCACATGAATAGTCCGATTGTGGCCTATGTCACGTTGATGCGTGCACATCACCAGAGACAGTATGCAAAGTAAAGATCTAGATTGTCACCTTGAAGAGCTGGTTCAGAATATGTCGATTCATCTTTCTGTATTGGCCATATTCTTGATGCAATAGTGTGGCAATTGATAAGCTATTAGTTGACTGTACTGAAAAGGTTGCTGTGAATGGTCTTCACTTCCAAACTGCTCGAATTAGGTCTTCTTGGAGTTGCATTAAGAAGGAAGCGTTCAGCTGTAGCACCCTTCCGGTGCCTAGCTGCCATGCCACCCGAAGGAAGCACGAGGGCTGGGATACTGCCAGGTTGCCCAACCCTAGACAGGGGGAGTCAATAGGCCCAGGTCGGGTTCGAACCACGGACCTTCCAGTTAGTAGATTCGCGCTCTAACCAATTGAGCCATCTTGCCCTTTGGTAAAGGCTAGCCTTGAGATTCTTGCGTCTGTGTGCCTTTATTACTTCTCTCTATCAGTCCACTACAGAGAAAAAAGAGAACACAATGGACGGTCCAGGCAGTGTTAGGCTCAATGAAGAGGGAATGCTACTCAGACGGTGGTTTTCTTACGAAGTACTGTAAATTGGAACGGACTGACATGGGAATTCAGCAGGTTGAACAACCGATTGATATAAAACTCTATCTGTTGCCTTATTCCGCAGAAAGCACTCACTCTTCGTATAATCATATGGAGTGTGTTGTGACGACAAAGTACCAAACACAAGACGCACGTTGTCATGCCAACATTGACTCAAACACTCTAATTCGTGTAACAAGATGAAATTTACACGATCGACTTGGGGGAATAGCCATAGGAAACACGGAATGCTTGTCTCGGTCTATTCCATTGGCTTCAACCTCAATAATACGTACGTGATGAAGCGAGATGTTATTTCACCTGTGACAAACTCCGTTTGGACTCTACCGTGCTATTTTAGGCTGCGAGATTTCCACCTATAATCTGAACCGAAATTCGCGTGTCTTGCCTTATCCGTGCAGTCCTCAACACATCCTGATAAGCTGAAGCTAATACTTTTTGTTTTCCTATTCGCCCGGGGTGGATTTGTGGACGTCTGGACAGTCGCAAAGTGTGAACACACAACATATGACGCCTCATCCATTTTCGTAAAGTTTACTTCAGTAACCAGACACCTTCATTGCAAACCGACACCTGTCAAGCTGTCATGGTGATGCGTCCAGGTTTCTATATCATCCTTTATTCGTGTTCGAGTCGTAAGTAATGGCCACACTTAAAATTTGAGAAGAGTGCTATAAACTGCAGACTCCTGATTCAAACGTAAGAAACGAAGACCAGATTGCTTACCTTGTGATAACTTCAAAAAGGAACATGCCTGTACGGAACTCGCCCAAAAGGTAGCCAACAAACGGCCCATAGAATGGAATAGGCAGACCATTCCCACAGCTAATAAGAGAGTTGGAAGTACATTAGGAGGATGGAACTACCTAAGGTTGGGAGCTTTCGGACAAGACCGACGCACTGCAGACCATGGGAATCAAGCAATTTACAAGTAGGGTTGGGACTAAAGCACTCCTCATTACTTCGGGAAAAATGACCGTGACTGGGGATGGTCGGGTCAATCCAGCTTGCTCAAATTTCGAATCTTTGTATTATTATCCACCCAGTAGCCCTGAAGCCCCTGAGTTCATCTCACACGAGCTTATCACCATCAGTCTGTTTTTTTGGTGAATTTTTATGGTTGAAAAATTACCGTAATTCCCTCTTTTTCAAAATCTGGGCCGCCTGCCAGAAAATGTCACGTAGCTCATTCGATTTATGATTCCTGTGGTCGTCACAGAGTAGTACATGACTGACCGTTGTGGAAGTTCAGTTTTGGCCTGTGACATCTCTGTGATATATTTCTAAATGCAACTAGGAATGACCAATCAGTCTGATCACCAGTTTCCTGCGGAATGACGAGTCGGTAATGGTGAGTCAACTGCACAACCTGATTTACAACGTGTTGTCCGTGTTTCAGCAACAACAGCATATTTTAACATGATTTGGCAGTATGGAAACAGGTGGCTTTAGTAGTTACTATTATCACGGCATGTGTTCCAAGTTAGATGGCAACCATGTCATTCATAAATCCCCGCGAGGCAGTGTGTTATCATGGGCCTGGATACACAGAGTGCCTATAGGTGAAGGTCACATACATAGTGATAAGGCGCGTCAAGGCTAATGACGGTCTACGTAGAATTGTCGCAAATAACACCATAGGGAGATAGAAGATGAAATGCCAAATTACCAAGGAAGTATGTGAAATTAAGGCTCTATTTGTTGTTGAAATTCTTCGGAGGCTTTCATGAACTCCCCATAGGTCACAGAATCGAAAAATTAAAAATGTTGCGGTAATAGTGATATTTGTCATGAACACCTGCCTTCGGAGAATCACTGTCCCCTGGTGCCTCCATAGCGTGCATATTACAGTGACAAAACGAATAACCTTTTGTTGTTTGGAAAGCAGTTTACCATGCAAAAAGCAATTTTAAAACTCTTGCTTCCGGTACGCCTCTACGACTAAACCTCAGATGTACTGATTTCCTTTACTCATGGGAAATAAATCAGTCGACTTTGAGGTTTTCATTTTAGAAACAACTAAAAACCAAAGTTGGGAGGTATTTCTGACTGTGATGCTAAAATGTTATTCTATAGTTGGGCACATTACAATATGGAGATAATGGGGGTTTGGAACGCAATGGCATCCTGCTAGGTTGTACAGGCAACCATCTTGTATCGATAGCACTGATACCACGTTTACCGTATTTGTAGTTGCTATGGCGACATGTTTAGATAACCTGGCAACCCCATATTTGCTTACGGCTCACGCTCAAGTTTTCAAAGGCCTTTTTTCCAGTTTTGGCCCAATCGTTTTTAAGGCCACAACCATGGGACAAACGGTAATAGGTAGCGGAAACGAACGAATTTCCGTACGTGGAAAACGAGTCCTGGGTTTGTGGTGAACTAGGTTTCCGAACGTGCCTCACCATTTTTTTGCCACGGTCTTCCAGTTTTTTGTCTAAAGATGACTCACCCAGTGGGTCAAATAACTACGACATACAAATAGGAGTCTTGCGCGTGAAAAGCAAGTCACCTGATGGATACCAGTTGGATGAACATAGTACAACCGCTTACCAATGAGTGACGAATACTGTTGTCCTCGTGTTTCATTCTGCGGCATGGTTGACCATCCGCTGACTGACCTTTGACTCACCGCAGTTGTCTTGTTCGTTGGCTGCTGCTTCGGCATGCTATTCAGTCTTTCATCTGACCAGAATCGAGAGTGTACGAATTGAAAACGGTTGGTACCAGAATGCTGAGAAAGCTCGCTTGTCCTAGCTTGATTATACGGGTCTGATGAAGTAGACTTCATGGTCCGTGCTGATGTTGTTGGTGTCCTTGTGCTTGAAGTAACTGTTGTTGTTGTTGTGGTGGTGGTGGTGGAGGTAGTCGTTGGAAGTGGCACTGCCTCGACATTGATTATTTGACTTCGGACACCGGCGTGGAAGCATGACCATTTCCCCGTTATATTTTTATCATATTTGTTCATCTTGTACTCAAACTGACGCACACTACCCTGCTGTTCGGAATAGTGAACTGCGTGGCACACAACATTTCGCAAACCTGCCTCTCGCACACAGCCTGTTGGTTCACATATACGTTTGCAGTTCTCAAAGCATCCTATTGGCATCATGGGGCAAGATAAGTAAATGCTGTGGACGGAATGTGTGGGGTTGGTTTTACAGGTGAGTATGTAGCTGTCACCAAATTCTTGGAGATTAATGTGTGTTGCAGCTTTTGGCATTGGCTCGTCTGGATCCAATCCACCACGATCGAGACCTGGCTGCCATTGTTGCATAGTTTCAGGTATGCTCAAGGAAGCGTTTGAGCTACTTTGCTGGTTTGCCTGATTTTCCAGTGCTAATTTCAGCCCAAGAAGAGATAACAACTCGGAATCTTTCATCTTCTCTTTTGAAGAGAGTGAGATTGCTGTAAAACAAAATCACAACATAGGTCGATGTGAGTTGGACGGCAAAACAGACGCAGATTAGCTCACAAGATTCCTTGATGAGGACGTTTCACCTCGGTTGAATTACTCTGCCTGTTTCAAGTCAAAAGTGAGCCCAAGTGGCCAAATTTACCATACTTTAATCACCAATCCCTAACAGTATTTTATCATCACAATTTTCCACCACGCCAATCGCAGACCTCAAACTACGGGTCAGAAGTTAGTATGTTCTCCTGCAAACCACACTTTAGTTACCTTGATCTTCGTGATCGCGCCACATAAGAGAAATCAGGCCTTCCATACACTGAAAAAAAAACATTTGGTGAATTCTGATTAATGAATTTCTAATGCTTTATGTTAATACTTTTCTCAATATCTCTGGTTTCCTTAGAGGAGTGGTAACCAATCACTTCTTGTAAGGTTTCAGTAAAATACATGGGTATCTATAAGTCTATAGAAAGTCTATAGAAAGTGCACTGAGTATACTGTGTTGTGTTGCTTGCGGCAAAACTGACAATGATTTCGTTAAAAAAGTAAAATGAGAGATGCTGGTAGAGCTGATGGGGAAATTGTATCTAAAGGGATAAGAATGGTACTGATGGTCTTGGGGTTTTACCTCTTGTGGAAATTACTTGGCAATTCACTTTCGAAGTGTGGAGCCAAAATACGAACTGGTGTCGTGGTCGAAATAACATCCATGGATGGGCTGAAAGTTGCGAGTTCAACTCCCACCCTCAGTGTTCTTATCTCATTTGTGTTCGTTTTTTCCCAATATGAATATGCCGATGAACATGATTTTTTGGCTTGCATCCCTAATTGACACATTTCAGATGAGGACAAAGCCCGCCCTTGTCTCATTGGCCGATGTAATATCAGGACTGCTTCAAGGAAAGGCGGTAACAATGGCAGCTGAACATATCCCAGGATTGCACAGGCGCACTGAATGATATGGCTACCTGGGAACTTTGAAAAGTCTGCTTTGCACCGGGCGGGGTCCCTGTTTTCCAACACACTGGCACCTCGATCCAATTCACTTACCAATGGCCGATTCAAGCACTCTGAATTTTGATGGTTCGTATCCATTTGGTGAGCGGGGTGATCACTTGGGTCACGTGTTATATTGGTGGCGCTCTCATGCAACGTGTTTCACATGCTCAAATTGTTTTACTTGGGTTCCGCATTGTACAGATCAGATTTTGCTGGACTGGTAGTCAATTGTTACGCTAAGATTCGAGCAGCCTGTCGATTTTTATTCTATCATTTATTTTTGAAGAGCATGGTCACAAACATAAAAAGTGAGTGCAAGCGAGAGATAAACGTCTCATTCGAGATCATGCCAAGGGCAGTGCCAGTCTGATGAGGTGAATCCCAAAGTATGTAAAGATTTTGGTATGGGAACACTCGTCTAAAGACCAACAACCAAAGAAAGGACAAACAATGGTGAATGCTCTTCAAGGCGCAGTGTGCGCTAGCACAGTCAAGACTCGCACATCAGACAACAAAGTGTCCGTCATACTGGGTCTGGGGTGAGATTAAATGGCAAAAATGTACCTTCAACGCCATGTGCCACGCATAAAAGTGTCATAAGTACGCAGGGAGCCCACAATGACAAGCAGACACAAGTCACTGACTGCGACCTTAGGAAGTCTCAGTCCAATAACAGCCTTAGCGGATTGAGGAAAGCAGATCCCTCGATAAGAGATGATCATCGGTTGGTGAACCAAAAAGTCGATATCACAACCGATTGCATGTAGGGCTGAGATTATGGCGGGTTCTGGTGCTTATCTTTCCAAATGATAGCTTACAGACTCGCACCGAGATTGCAAGTCGTCCGGTCAGATAGGCAAAAAACATCCGAGTTGCACATTTATGAAAAAAGCGAATCGAAAGTGCTGGAGTACTCCTTTGTCTGGGTCAAATTTCAACAGCTACAACAGTTTGAATGTACCGCTTCGGTTAGCGTAGAGAGAAACGTTAAGCAAAAAAAGAACATTACATCAAAAACCCTTTGCTACTGGCTTATTGAATGATCTCAGGTGTCAATTCTCATCGCATCTTTTTCCACGTGACCTGCAAAAGTGGAGTAGTTTGTTTGCCACTAGAAAACAACACCTGCAACCAGATGTATCACCTCATCTTGAATTTTTGGATTTTGCATATCTAGCTTCGTCTGGTTCGCCCTAATTTCATCCTCCCCATGTAAGAAGTTCACCATGAACTGTATGGAAACCCGGTGCACAATCACGGACACTGGTGATTGGATGATTTTTTTGCTGGTGCGGATGCATCATCATGAGAATCGTCAGACTAAATGACATGTTCATGGGTGTCTGACAATTGATTGACGGATCCAGCTAGCAAGTACGGTTTCACTTCCACAATCCATATTCCGATTTGCTAATTTGTACAGGGCTGTTACACCCTTGCTTGCACAATTGAAAAACAAAACAACCCTACAAACGGATACACAGCGGCAAGACATCAACGAAAAGAAATGTCAAATCCAGATACCATCCTGCGTAGTACCATTTGTTGTCAAATGTGACAAGATCATATTGTTTTTCCCCAAGGACTACCTAAAAAGAGCTTCAGGAGGGCGGTGAACGCACATTGTCTTTCATTGTTTACACCTACCCAGTTTGCTAATACCTGCCTGCACATGTTGAAGCGATTTGTTGTCAGTGAAATTACCCTATGTTGGTATAAAAGTAGAATTATAGGTTCCAAGACCAGCAATGTGCTATTTCCTATTGCGATTTCGTTCAGTAATTGAAGCCAATCTACGCTCAAAAGCCGAGATGCATTGTACAAACGGTTCATTCTTAGTAGAAATTATCTCAGGAAACTCCAGGGTACCTCGAAACAGCGGCCTTCCAGTTAGTAGCTTGAACACTCAACTGTTTAGCTACAAGCGGCAGATTGGCAGGGCGACTGACTTGCACTCAGACAGGGCGAAACGCCACTCATCCTTTAATCACGGAATCTAATTCACGTGGTCACTTACTGACCACGTGACCATTTACTAACTCCAGAGATGACTACTCAGATGGATGATTCACCTAGCTAAATGTTCAGACTACTAGCCGGAAGACCGAAGTTCGAGGTCATCTAGAGTTTTGTGAGGAGCGCACAGCTGGCAATTCCCAGTAAGAATCAAACAGGTGTACGATGCTCCTGGGTTATTTTTAACGTAAATTGACTTCCGGGAATATTCAAATCTATTGGAAAAGGTTTGAAACCGATTAAGAAATCATCGACTCAGTAGAGCATGATAAACAATCGGTAGTTTTTATTTGGGCAACGTTTCACTTTTGACACAAAAGCTTCATCAGGCCGAGTGAGCAGGTCACCAAATTGGCCAGGTTATAAGACAGACGGGCAACCAATTAGTAAGTCAGTCCTCTTCAGATTATCACGCTAGATCAGTGTTGAGTGTCAGTTAACGGCTCTTGTCGGTTGGTGAAGTTGTCAAAATCTTGCTTTGGTGGATTGAGGGAGTTTCAAATTAATTTTGGTCGGCGAATATATGCTCATCTGCAAACTAATTTGGTTCTTTCGAGAGACTCGCCTGGAACCCAGCTGAATCTCTCGTTT